TGATCTCGTGGCGAGTGCCGCCTGGAGTGAGCGTGTGGCGACCTCGTGCGATCTCGTGTGATCTCGTGTGATCTCGTGGCGAGTGCCGCCTGGAGTGAGCGTGTGGCGACCTCGTGCGATCTCGTGTGATCTCGTGTGATCTCGTGGCGAGTGCCGCCTGGAGTGAGCGTGTGGCGACCTCGTGCGATCTCGTGTGATCTCGTGTGATCTCGTGGCGAGTGCCGCCTGGAGCGAGCGTGTGGCGACCTCGTGCGATCTCGTGTGATCTCGTGTGATCTCGTGGCGAGTGCCGCCTGGATCGAGCGTGTGGCGATGCCGTCGGCAATCGAGCTGAGCGCGGCTTGCTCCATCCAAAGGGCTGCAAGCGCCGCCGGACTGAGGCGCGGAGTAGACACGTCGATCGAGTGCGGACCGCCCCCGTCGCTGTCCCTCACGCTGCCAGCGCCACGGCCCGCGCCACCGCCGCCCAACCCATCGCCGCCGCCGCCGCCGCCGCCGCCGCCGCCGCCGCCGCCGCCGCCGCCGCCGCCGCTTCCGCCATCGCCGACGTCACCGCTTCCGCCGCTGAGCGCCGCCAGCCACTCGACCAGCTCTGCTGTGCCCCCCTCGCAGCCCAAATCCATCGGCTTGGCGAGGGCGGGTGAGGAGAGCTGGACAGCGCCGGCGGCGGCGCCCGGCGCGCTGCGCACGCTGACGCGGCACCTGAACCTCCGTCAATCTCGACCAATCTCGGGGAGATCTCGGGGATGTCTCGAGGATGTCTCGGGGAGGTCTCGGGGAGGTCTCGGGGAGGTCTCGGGGAGGTCTCGGGGCGATCTCGGATCATCTCGCCCTTCGAGGTCGACCAAGCCGCGAGGCGCCTGGTCCTCGAGAGAGAGGTAGTACAGTAGCCAGCGGCGGCCGCGCCCGTTGCACAGCGCCACCCAGCGCCGGTTGCGGCCCGGCAGGTGGTCACGCTTCTTCAGCAGCCAACCGCACTTCACAACGCGCAACGGCTCCGCCGCTCCGCTATCTCCGCTGCCTCCGTCACCGCTGCCTCCTCCGGCACCTCCGCCACCTCCGACGCAACCACCGCCGCCACCTCCGCCTCCGCCATCGCCGCCAACTCCTCCTCCGCCACCGCTGCCACCGCCGACGGCGGCGGAGCCACCGCCAGCATTAGCACCGACAGAGCGACTGCCGTTGCACCGACCGCCATTGTCGGTGCCGCCGCTGCTGCCGGCGCCGCTGGAGATGGCGAGGCACTGCGCCGCGAGGCGGAGGGGAGAGACGGAGGAGAGGGCGCGGCGCGTCGGAGGGACGGCCGCCGCGCGTCGCAGCGCCTCTCGCCAGCGAGCGAGCGCTGCGCTCGATCCGCCTACGAAGGTTCTCGGAAGCTTCTCGCTTCTGCCGAAGCGTTGCGCCGCCGCCCGCGTCGCTGCCGAGGAAGAGGAAGCGCTGGCCCGGCCTATTGGAAAGGATGATGTCGGTGGCAGTCCAGTGTCTCGAGCAGTGCGCGCGATCGGGAAGGGACAGGTGATCTACAGGTCCGGGCTGTCGAGTGCGCCTGCCGGAGAAGAAGCAAAGCCGCAGAAGCTGTGCTCGCCCTCCGTCAGAGAGGACGAGCGAGAAGTCGTCGATCGCATCCAGGCCCCAGGAGTCGAGTGCACTCTCGGCCGGCGCATTGACCGCTGCGCCGGGCTTCCTTAGCAGAAGAACGGCCTCCGCTTCGTGCAGCGCAACGAGGCGCCGCTGCAGGCGGCCAGCATCGAGCGGGGCCTTGGAGGATGTATACGCCCAAAAGGTGCCCGACACAGAGGCTGCGGACAGCGGCGACTCTGCTGATAGCCGGGGCTTTGAGGCGAAGCTAAACATGGAGCGGTCCTGTGCGGCCTGTGGCTATAGTGCAGCGATCCCAGCTACCGGGTACTCGGTGTGAACAACCTCTCACAGGCCAGCGCACAGCGCCATAGGAGGTATTCTCTTCTCAATAACAAGGCTGTGAACAGAGTTCGTAGCCGAGGCCCCTCGGCGTTCACAGCGTGTGTGTGTGTGTGTGTGTGTGTGTGTGTGTGTGTGTGTGTGTGTACTCACTCACTCACTCACTCACGTTCACAGCGGAGTGGCTGGGGCTATACCATACAAAGTAGGTAGGTAGTGTCGCGGGGGAAGGTGACTGCACCAAAACCCGCGAGGAATCGAGAAGGGAACTCGAGATTGGCCTTCGCCGCATTTAGATATCGTGTCCAGTGGTTGAATTGTGTCGGCGGGCCGAATGTCGTTTCACCTCTGTCGTTGGTCCTGGGATCGGGGTCTGCGGGGGGAGAGGCAGACACGGAAGGCGACCTTCCCTCAGACAAGGGAGATCGCTACGTCGGCTTGGACGGCGCGTCCCACAAGCCCGAGAGACGGGCGGACCGCGCCGAGCTCGCGTGGACGCAAGCGGAGGTCAAGCGCCTCCGCGCGCAGATCGAGACCCTTCGGAGCAGGTCGCGAGTGCAAATCCCCGGGGCCCGCGGCCGAGACCTCGAGGAGGAGACAAGGGCGCTCTTCGAGACGGTGGAGTGCGACACCGAGATCACCGCCATCGCCGCCACCCTGGGGACGTTGGGGACCCCGCCGCAAACCCCGTGCACCCCACCCCCAGCGGGCGAGTCATCCGGCCCCGCGCGGCCGAGCAATCAGCGCCTCCAAGCGCGGCCGCGTGCACCGCCGGTAGGAAGACCGGCGGGCCGCTCTACGGCGCGGCGGCCCCCGGTGGCGGCGGTCGGCACCCCGAAGCCGACCCCCGCCGCGCGCCTTCCGCAACCCTCGGGCTTCAATGCCATCCATACGGAACCCTGCCCCGCGACAGGTAGGTAGGTAGGTAGAAAGGTGAAGAACAGCCAGGCTCGGACTGGACACCAACCAACGCGGTATGGGTGGACGCAAGAGAGAAAGCGCATACAAAACAAGAACACAACGCACGCTCTCTCGCATGACAAGCGATCCCACGGCAGCGAGTGTGGGGACATGATCCGTACGTGAAGGGTGGAGGGGCCCGTCCGCAGAGCTAGGCGGCGTGGGCGCCCCCCACTGACTGGGGCCGAGGGACGTCTGCCGCTTGCTTGTTCTTGACGTCGTTGACCCAGTCGGCACGCTCCTTGCGCGCCTGCTTGTTGATGCTGTCGGCTTCGCCCGCCACCGCCGCCTTGGAGATCTGCTGCGTATGGTGGACGACGAAGGAGGAGGCGCTCGCCGACGCCGCCCCGTACACGTCCGGTCCGTGCACCTTGTGACGGTGCCCTGGCAAAATCGTCCCGATTTCGATGCGTGATTTAGCTAAGTCCCAGAGCCGTTTACGCATTAGCGGGCCCCCTCACCAGCCTAGGGCTCGCGCTTCTGGCCCGAGGTGTCGCCGCTGCCTCCCGCGCCCTCCGGCGCCTGCTGCTACTGCCGGTCGGCCGGTCGGGTCCGCGCGACGGCTCCATCCTCGAGACGT